TTTCAAAGCACTTTCCTGCCTTTATTTCCAATGTATTTTTATACAGAAATTAAAAATAAATAAATAAAGTAAATGATTAAAGAGTTTGCCATAAGAAAAGGTAATTGCATTAGCTGCAGTGGTTTTCCTCCCTCTTCCAGAGCTGATTCTGACTCAGAACCTCCACTGCAGGTGAGGAGCAAATCTCTCACTTGCTTGTCAGCAATTACACGGTGGTTCATCATATTGATAAGAAGTCACTCCCACTAGTTTCTTCTATACAGATGCAGTCAGATCTGGCAGGGTAAACCTACCCCCATCGCTTCAGAAGGACGCAGTAGAAACACACAAAGGAATTATATACATGAATTATAACTTGGATTATATAACTATTACACAATTAAGTATTGGAATTAATAGATCCAAACTGATTGTACTTAAAATCGGAACTGCATTATGAGAGAATCTTCTAAAACCTTTATTCAAAACATGCCTAAAATGTGAAATGCCATAGGTTTGTCTTTCCATATCAAGTCAAAATGTTGTGTCAGGAATAATAATTAAAACAACAACAAAAACTATATTTTAGGTTATATATTACAAATATTAACTTTACGTTCTAGGTATGGTTAAGCTCTCAAAATAGTTAATAAAAATCCTGAAACTTGTGGAGAGTAAATACTCTACATATAATTCCATAAGCTAGTGCTCATTAGTGTATTCAGATTTAGTATTTCTAGCTTTGTTCTCTACTTCTGTTAAATTTCTCTGTTCTACCTAAAGAAAAGGAGGCAGTTTTTCTTTAACCAACATCCACTGCTGCATTTGACTTGAATAATAGCTGAAAGAAAAGGAACAATTATCTCCTCCTCTTGAACCACACAGGCTTTCTCATTACATGATAAACGCATTGTCATTTTCCAATCCCTCCACCTTCACCACCTATTATTGCACATTGAAACACTCGGAGCAAAGCTTCTTTAATTGTTTATCACAAATACACACAACCACTTAGTCTAAAAGGAAGGTCTATAAATGTGAACTCCATCAGCCCTGCTTATTCAGTGCTTAGGCAGTACTGCTCCATTCAAAGAAGGAATGTGAGACGACAGCTACATATTCCCATCCTGTAAATACAATCTTAATCCAGGGCACTGTAAAGAGTCCTATTATGATATTTTGTGGGTGTTCTTTGATGGAGATGATGTAATAAATACAAAGCTATTAAACAATAAAATAATTATACAATCATAATCAACGTGGACAGACTGTTCCTGACTGATAATATGAAAAATGAAGCATCCTTAGCTACAGTAAGAATGGTTGTACTAACCTTCTCTTAGGAAACAGTCTACTTTCCAATACATCAAGTAATGTGTCCTCTTCCACTTTCTCTCATCCTGAAGAAGGTTTATCTGATACACAACCTAAGCACCATTTTTATTTCCTAATTTCATTCAGTTTTTCATAGCTGTGCTCCCTGTCATTATGATAAGTAATTTTCTTTCCTAAATGTTTGCTGTAAAAATTACTTTTAATGTGTGAGCAACATGATATCTGAAGAAATCATTTATACAAGCCAGCGTGTAAAACTCAGGCATGGTTAAGAAAACAAGTCACCTTTAAAGTATACATATTAAATTCTTTTGAAATATCAGAACAGTATGTACGTACCAGATGATACTATGTGACCCATTTATAAATCAGAATCAAAGAATGGATGGGGAATTATATCTTGGTCTAACAAATTGTGATCAATCACTGAATGTGCAAGTGTAGCTTGTTTCAATTCAGAAACTTGGAACAAATTAGAGTAGTTGTAACCTTGAGAAAAGCGCACTTCTCTATCTTTCTGCATTGTGAAGAAATGAATTAGGCATTAATAGGAGCAGTCTTGATAACTAAATAAATTCATGTTGCATCTGTTTTAATAGTAACATGAATGTTTCTACTTTTTAAAATGATGATTTTATTTTTATTAATGTTCAGTTGTGTACTAGAAAGAATTCTAAGATGTAGCTTAAGGTTGCTTTAACCTTCATGATCTACTGAACAGGATAAGAATGCAGTAAAGAAAATTAAGGCAAGATTACATTGACAGAAGGTGTGAATAACTAACATCTACAAAAAGCCAGTATACATCTATGCAAAGAATTTCAAAATAGACATTTCAATGCTTGTAATATGTAGCAATCCATAAATTTTGCTGATGTATACATTTGTATTTACTATGACCAATGAATAATTTTTATATTAGGTTGTTCATAGCTGCAGGATCCAAAGCTGTGATTGGCTTACACTGGACATAAAGTGATTCATTGCTTAACTTCATTTTATTTCATCAAAAATGATGGAGCATAATTTGAAGTGTCACTGCTTATACTCCTATAGGAAATGTCTTGCACTTGTCTTGGTTTCTTTGCAGCTGACCTGCTGAAGGTCATTTCATTTGACCTTCATTATGGATCATGGGTATATGTGAGTTTCAGTAAGCTTTGATTCCTTTAAAAAAAATAATAATTTCTAAGTTGAAATACTACTTTATATAAAAATATATAAAAACCCAGTATTGACTACGTTAATATGAAGTGATTGCAAGTCAAATTCATGCCTGAAATGAGGAAAACTCTGACTACATTTTTTTTTTTTTAATCAATGTTCAATTCTAGATAATATTTTGATCTATTTTCCTAGTTATTTCTCCTTCAGAAGATTAGGGTCCTAAACAGAATCATAGCTAAAATAAATCAACTAGTGTGAGTGACTCTTCAAATATTTCTGTTTTTAGAGAGAAGTACTAAGGGAGAAGGAATAAACTCTGTTGAGATTTTGAATTTCAGTTATATCTACATTACTAACTTCCTACTTGCTTGTTGAGAAAGATCATCATCTTTCACTGTTTGGAGAACACTCTGCCCAGCAGGATCCACATCCATGATTAAGGTTTCCAGGCAGTATTACAGCACAAACAAACACATCAGACTAAGCATTTCATGTCTGCAGTATCCCAGAAAAGAGCAGTATGCCTACATTTTTTTTCCTCAACCCACAGCATCTTTTTATTTTGCACTTGTCAAGACATCACTACATTCCTTCCTATTTTTTTGGGCACAACAGACACATGGTAACTTATAGAAATTCTAAAGAAAAATATTAATATATGGCAGCAGAGCATTACAATTTCTTGAGTTCTCAACATTTCTTGCCTTTTTTTTTTTAATGAGAAAACTTAATTCTGATCTTAAAAACACACTTGAGTTAGAGATATGATTTTCCAAAGAAAAAGTTGCATTTTGTGTGTGACTCTTTAAAACACATGATAAAAAGGAGTAAAAAAAAAAAAAAAAAAAAAAAAAAAAAAGAAAATCTTCTTGATAGTAAATAGAGGAAATTCTTCAAACTTTAGTAATATTTACTTTTGATGATGTGATTATTTACTTGTGTGCCTGTGTAATTCAAACAGAAGAAAATATCAAACTTTCAGACCTTTTCCTTAAAAAAGAAAAAAAAAAATATTCTTCAGAGATGTGACTAAAAGAAAAATTACTTAAAATATTTTTAAAACCTGTTTTTCTTTTTCTCTTTTCTTTTTCCTTTTTAATATAGCCACTCATGACAGGTCTTTTTTTCTAGCTTGAAGCTTACTAGCATGCCTGTGTACAAAGGACATAGCAAATAGCATAGCATAGCACAACGACATTGGTCTTATCAAAGTATCTGTTTATCTGGGCTCTGGGCAGGGATTTTTCTCTTTCATACATCATTCACAACTAGCCAGACTGATTTCACAATGTCAACTCAAAAAACAGCCTTAGCATAAAGAAGAAAGAAGAAATTATCTTTTACTACTGTTTTGAATATTAGCCACACTAGGCCTGGATTTCATTTTCTCTGCCCTACTTCTGAGGTTTCATCGATAGCAAAGGCCACCAAGCAGGACAGAAAAATAAGTAACGTTTTTTTTTCCTTGTTTTTGAAATTTCTTCTGTTATCTATGAACACAAAACATATAATCTCTGATGCAACAAGAAAGGCACTGATTATAACGTTTCATTACCCAATTCTCTATTTGAATTAAGAAGCTCTTTGGGTGTTACCTTCAAAGCCACAAAGAGCAGTTAAAACATTTCAGTCCTCCTGGATATTAATGGGAAAAGGGAACCTCATATTTATTTATCTTTCCCCCTTTGACTCGTTTCTATAGTAAAGAAAGAAAAATAAGGCAGATCATAAGGGCTGGATAGTAAGCTTTACTTTAGAAAGTAAGCTTTATTTAAGGGCTCAAGCATCTTTCAAGTAATATGGCTTGTTCCCATATTTATCATGATTTCAAACTAGGAAAAGGAAAGCAAATTTCGCTACTACAGTTACTAACCAGATGAAGTGCAAATGACCACACAGGAGACAAACTAACCTACATGCAAATCAAACTGCATGCAAATCATAACTGAAACTCAATCAAACTGATAAAAAGCAACTGTGATTGTGTGGACATCGTCCATATATCTTATCATTATGTACACAGAGCAAGGAACCAAGTCATGAAGTTGATCAAAAATTGGCTGTGAATAATCCTTGATAAATCAATTGGAGAAAAGCACTGTGCTGTTTTAATCTGAAGCATCCCAGATAAGATCTCCATTCACAAGAGTGAGTTTTGATTTGACAATTAAAATATCTTGCTGTTTGGCTAGAATGAAAAAGACTTGTTTTAGGATAACAGAGACTAACTTGATTCCCAAAACCACAATAACTTAATAATTAACATCACTCTTAATTCCTCCACACAAATGAATCATGTGATCTTTTCAATTTATTTAAATGAGAGGTGATTGCTGAACAATGCTTAAAGCCCACAGTAGGAGTCTTAATTACAACTAAGATTCAATTTAATGAAGATTTAATCTTCGGTATAAAAAAATCATTAGTGACACTTTTCTCCCAAAAGAACAAAAATGCACAATTCTATCCAACTTGACATGAATGCAAGACAGGAAGAAAACTGAAAATTTCTCACATACCTGCTTTTGAGTTTTGCCTCGTTTGTCCCAAGTTACTGCAATTGTGTGGCTCAGTCTCTCAGGCACAGTATTTCCTTCTACGATGAGTATCACAGACAGCAGTAGAAAAGCAGCATAACTACAATTTTACCACCTTGTTCCTGTGGATATTTTGCTGAAGGGATCTGTCACAGGTGTTTTCCGTAGATATTGTTGGTGAACCAAGGTGTGAAAGAGGTCACGTCTCTTCTACCCTGAACTAACCTCTATTTTTAGCAAGTGATTTTCACCTGTTCAGGTCAGACACCTGTCTTCATAATTTCAAGTCTGCTTAGGTGGTTTCCACATCCTGAAAGTCAGTTGGTGTCTTTCAATTCTGCTGCAGCAGGCAGATGTCAGGCCTCAGGTCACCAGTCCTCCCGCTTGGAGTGACGGGCGTCTGGATAAATCTGCTGATGCATACACATGACATCTGTTCTCTAATAGACACAAAAATAGGATTTGTGTGGGCTCACTGTGAAGGAGCTGCTACCAGCCTTCAATCTGGGGTAACAGCTCTGGGGCCACCTTCATGAGCAACATTTGGTATAGGACTATGCCCTTTCTTAAAAAAAGCTCTCAACTTACTCAGCAACATACATTCACTCCTACAGATTTGCAACAGCCTTGAAATGAATCTAAGTGGCTCATAAGAGTTGACATCCTTACACCAAGAAAAAAAAAAAAATGTAATCATGGGGCCTTAATTTCATAGCATACTCCCTTACTTTTGCCCTAGAAAGAGATGCATTTATTCCATACTGCTTCAGACTCCATCTAATGTCAGAAGCCCGCTCTGGGCAGTTGTAGGCTCATTACTGTGAAACTTGTGGGTCCCAAGTCAGAGAAATTGGAGGAGACCTGGGTTTTTGCAGCTCACGGGCACTGAACTGTGTTTCAAAGGAAGAAAATGTCTTTCATTACAGTTATTGCTCCAACCTTCTTCTCTCGTTCTTTCTATTCTTCATCCAGCAATCTCTCCTCGGCAAACCAGCAAAGGACAGGAGGAAAAAAAAACAAACAAAAATGCACTACCACCAAAGCACAACAACAACAACAACAATCACACCAAACCAAAACCCACCAGGGAACCACCCAGTTTGCCAAGCTGAATAGTTCACTGTGACGTCCTCTCCCCCAGTTTCCATCTGCCTCTGATTCAGCAAAAGCAACATCTCTTGTCTTTTCAGAGGTAAGCCTATTTCTGATGAGTCTCTAGGAACTCCCTAAAATGGTCATCATTATTAATAATGAAATCTTGATCTGCGGTGCAAGTAAACTGCTGTAGCTTGCACTCCTAAAAGTGGCAGCCCTGTTTTAGCTCAATGAATAGTTTGTCATTTTGTCCTACAAGGGCAGTAGATTGACTTAGGTTCATCAGTCCTTCCTTATCCATATTGGGGATTTATACTACATTAATGGTTACAGTTCACAAGAGACAAAAATATGAATAGCTGATTATTTTTGTTTTGGTCAAAAACTCTTTTGGGAGCCTGACTGAAGTTGCTGAACAACCCCGACTTGATCAAAAGCATAATAATGTATTTTTACAACATTAATTACTTTACATAAAATTACAGCAGCAAAAAAAGATATGGTTTTGGTGTGTTGCTCATCCTGTGTGCTCAATATTATAACTACAAATGCTTTGCTTCCTCATGTTATCAGAGAATGTTGTCCTACTGTGTTGCGAGGTCTCAAAGAGGAAGAAACTTGGAGGGAGGGCAATGAGCTAGAAGAGTTGTTGGCTTAGATCCCAATTAACTGATCTTCTGGAAGAAAATATATCTCAGTGAGGGGTAACATTTTATATTAGGAAAAAGGAAGGAAGAACGCTGCAGAAACTGAGATTATTTTCTTGCTCATACTGAATAAGTACTTAAAAATGAACTCATTAGAGGCCACTGCATTGTACATAAACGATCAAAGTTCTCTTGTATGTTGAACTAATCTGTCAAGCAAAGGTCCAGAGTTAATCCATCTTGCAAAGGGCCAGATTTGTAACGCACTAAGACAACCATTACAGGGTAAAGCTCTACAGAGACGTCAGACATCAAATCCCTCAGAAAACAGTTAAAAGCAAAGTCTCTTTACCTTGCTGAGTGCTACACATCAGCTTTGTTAATCCCTTACTAAAGTTAAATATTTAGAAGCCAAATTATAAATTAGTATAACACAGTAATTTATTGTCTTATTATCAAAAAGTAATAGCAGAAAAAAATCAATTTTGAAAGGGCTCTTTTCTGTGTCTAACTTGTCAATTTTGCAAAACTGTAATTTCCCTTGTGGGAAAGCCATTATATTGCAAGTACACTACTGTACATATTGGCTGCTTTTCCATGATTTATATCCAGACTTTTGCATAACATACTGTCATTTCACACAAGTAACAATCTTTAGTGGTAGATGAGATGTACAAAATAGCTTCTTGCTCTCCAGTCCTTTGGAGATGCTGCTTAACTACAGGTTAAGTGTACAGGTTAAACCTTAACTAAAGGTTAATTACTTAAAAGAAAGGAAGCATCACAATAAACAGTTATTCCTGTAGACAAAGTTGTCGTCATTATTTTTTTTTTTTTTTTTTAATAAAAATGGATTTTAAAAATTCTAAGTATTTAAATAATATGAATAATCTGAACTGACACACAGTAATCACTGCACTTTCCATACATATTTTGCTCCAGATAAACTTTTAAGGCCACTGTAGTTTCCTTGCTAAGCATTTCTCTTTATTTTAGATTTGCTTTCCTCTGCAAGAGAGGAATGTGAAGTTCACTTGGAAAAAATATATGTCCTGGGGGCATTCTATAATGAATGACTTGGCTTTCTCTCTGGAAGTGTTTGTACTATTTTGAGAAATGGATATATAGTGGGGTGGTTACCAGCAGTTCCTTTTGTTGTAATTTCTGAAATGGAGCTTCTCATGTTTCAGAGAATAATTGATTTTTTAAAATAGCTTTCCTGTAGCTATACAACTCATTTTATTCTGACACTTTTTATTTCTGCTTTCCCCCTCCCCCTCCTGAAGCTTAATTACCTTTTGCAGTAATATACACAATCAAATCAAACAGCTAAAAGGTAGGTAGTTTCCCAGTATCCACAAGCATTCACAGAGAAAAAAAAAGTTTTATAATTTTGTCATAGACACTCCAGTTATCTTCCCCCACCTCCATTATAATATTATTAAAATTGTGCTTTCAACAGAAGTGATAAAACAATGTGAAATCTTTTTATTGCTCACAACAACAAAAAATGTCTGTATTAACATCCTGTTGTGATTACACGCTTCACATGACTCACTGGTATAACACATAATATTCTTCATAAATACGTCTTCAAGACTTCAAATCTCATATGCGTATATATATGTGCATACACATATGCATACACACACATCTTCCATGGGTTTCATTATAAATAATGTGTTCACAGCATACGGTTTCTCCTTGACTTCTTCCCTTTAGGCAAGCAGATGCAAAAGGAACAAAATGTTCACAACTCAAAAAAAATACAATCTACATTTTTCAGGTACTTTGAGAAGGATACTTACACAATGCTGTTCAAATCTACCTCGTCCCTGTTAATATTCCTCTCTCTACAGCATGCCCTTCGGAGAGAGTTTTTACCAATATCTCCTGCTGGAAACTTGCCACTTACTTTTGGCAGAAGCAAGCAGCTGTGGCCTGTAAGTGTATAATCTACACCTGGCTGCTGCACGATTGCCCTCTGTTTTAGTTTGTGGGGCCTCATAGCTTCCAGACAAGGGGAATTAAGGTTCAGGGAACCTTTGAGACAAGTCAAAGCAGTACCCTGTCTGCGGTGCTCTCTGCCAAGAGAGGTTTTGGGCAATGAGAATGGAGGAGGCAAGTTTAGTTTGAAAACTAAGTACAGCTCACAGACATAACACCTGAACGATAGCATCAGGTAAATAATTGTGGTTTAGTTACTAGTTCTGAGTTGTGGGAAAAGAAGAGTAACCCTGAAAAAAACAACCACCACAAAAAAAAATATCAGATCCTTGCCTTTGCAGAGTGTCAAGTCTTACAGTCTAAATATTAATTAATAATATTGATGCTTCAGTTGTTTTATTAAGGTCAATGAAAGCTTTTTCTAAGCAAGGATCACATTTATAGGCCCTGACTCCCTGAGCTGCCACTGCTTTGATTGATCCACTGGGGCATTAGCAAGCAGGAAAGCAACTTTGGGAAGCACACTGGATCAGACTGCTAATGAAGCTATATCGCATGGCATCCAAGCATGTCACTGGTGCCACAATATATTGCTATGTTTTCATATGCAACACACACCACCACCAAAAAACAAACAAACAAACAAAAAAACATTCTAAAGGGAAATGAGAATATCTATTTATACACATACACTTATATGTATACATATTTTCAGTAGTCTACATACACTGATGCACATTTGTGAAGATCTCTATGGTGGTTGGCCTTTAAAACAAGACACCAAAGCAGAGCTTTGGGAGCCAAATCTCAAACATGGGGATACAGATTTACATACTCATGCCACAAACCCTTCAAATAAAAACAAAGTTGATGACTTAAATCCCCCCCCAGACTACTAGAGGCAGACTTTTGGTAATATTTCTGACATCAGTTCTATTGTTTCTCCTTATAATGCACTGACCTAGATCTGTTGGTGTAATTTTTCAGCTTCTAATACTGATAATATTGCTTTTAGACAGTGGTTTCAGGGTCCTTTTGAGATGAGTTCTTCAAAGCTGTAGCTTAATCCATTCTTTATTAGCTTCTGTAAAGTGATTACTTCTTCAGGGCTGGATGGAAGTACTTAAAGGAAATGAGCATTCTGTTACCAAACATCGCTGCTCCACTTCCAAAGCATTTGCAGGATTTTTAACGCTTTAGGCTTGAATGATAGGGATATAAAACAAGAGAAGACACTAACAGAAAAGTTTCATATGGTAAATGTGTTGACACCCTGACATTTTTTTTAACGAAATCCCCAAATGTGACAGGTGCTCAGGGACTGATGGCCTGTGACGGGCAATCTTGAGGTCACTGGTGCTGATGCTGCTGTTGAGATGTCATTTTATTTTTTAGCTCAAAATGAAAAATTGCTCTCTGCACGTAGTTTATTAGAATCCTGTTGCAACTAGGGGCTAGGGAAAAGTCACATCACAGCCTCAGATTACCTTTACAATGCTCCTTCCATTGTGCACAAATAAAAGACAAACAAGTTTACTGCCTCCGCCAGGCTGCAATTAGAAGATGGGGACTTTCTCCTTTGTGTCCATGCGACCTTGTTCCACTAATTCCATGAAACCTGTGCTGATTAAGGCTAGTTTAGCATTGTTTCAAAAAAAGTTATTCGATGAATAGCTACAGAAAATAAGTACCACCTGATGTCAAGGAGAAGTATCTGCTTCTATGGCAAAAGCAAACCCACCATCTTGAACACAAAGTGCAAACCCAATACAACAAAGAAAAGATGAAAACAAAGAAAGGAACAAGTTTCAGAGCTGTTGAAAGCCAGAAGTGTTAAAAATATCTCCCTGGCATTATTTTTATAGATGCTTGCGTTCCAGTCCAGACAATGGCATCCATTAACTTTTGGAAAGAAATAAATATACATATATTGTGAAGTCTCTTTAGGAATAGAAATAGTCCCCCCAAACCAAAATGGTGATGACAAACCTGTGCTAAGAGTACAGGGCACATGACACCACTGGCAAGAGAGTTGAGACCTGACCTACCACAGTGTTAATAAAGTGGCTTTGTTCCTAAATTGACAGGAGAGAAACAGTCCCCTTTCATCTACTGTTCACCTGAGCAGCAATGAGGTATGGTCAGACTCGGAGAAGCACAGCTTGTAAGGAAATCCCAAACATCAAAGAGTGCAGAGACTTGCAAAAGTAGTTTTGAAGGTAGACAAACTTTTGATCCCATTTATCAAAGTACTTGCTGTTCCCATCTCAAGGTGAAACAATAAT